TCGCGAGTAATAAGCTTGCGTGTATCTTGGAATCCATTCTCCCCGCGGTCAAAAAACCCTTTCGAGCCTCCTTAAGTGCAATATTCTTTGCCGTCATCGTTTCATATGTTCTCCGTATACATATTAAATCAGTCTTAAGGTGGTCCTCCTGTACTACCATGTGAGTTTGTGATTTTATGTCGCCTTCAATAGACCTAACCCGATCAACTCACGTACCCAAATGAAGAATGTTTTGATGAAATCTCTCGTCTCGTGTAGAAAGGTTTAGACCTTTATGTCACAACGCTCGTACCCCGCTTTTGGCTGACCTCATTTTATGACCGATTTCAGCTCAGGCGTGTGGCAAAATAAATCGATTTCGGCAATGAAATTCTAATTTTGTCGTACATGCAACTCACGGTAGCCCCTCTTTTCTTATATTAAGAAATCCCTTTTTATAAATCTATGTATAATTCTTTTTTTGTGTTTTTAGGCAACAAGGAGCCTTGCCCCTATGGAAAAGAAGGGAAGCCACCAGAATGCTACGGTATGTCACATACATAAATCTATTTAGTATTAGCTAAAATGATGAAATTAACATCACAGCCATAGGCTAATTAATAACAAAGTGAATTTAAATCCAATATATCTACTTCACTCGAGAGCAAAGTGCATTAAAGAAGGACTGTCAAACTAAAATAATATGGATCTAAATATAAGTTTCCTGCGTGTTTAGCCGCGAGTTTTTAAATTTTCAAGATTGTTTTTCCGTTCTATCCCGATTAAGATAGATCTTTCGGAGCTCTAAATGAAAAGAAATTAGTTTTGGGGTTGGCGATTTGGCGATACTAGTAATTCATTCTCAAGCGTGATGCGAATTATGGCTGAAAACAAAACTGAGTTTTTTTTTTACTGCAAGTGGGACTTTGCGACGGTGAGAACTCTTCATCAGAACTGCAAAAATTATTTTAAAGTGTTGATATGTCCCAAAAGTGTCGAGCAATAGCAGCATTTGTTTTTAAATCGTACAATTTTCAGAATTTTCTAGCAAAACAAAGCTACGAAATTTTCTAGACGTAATTTCCAATAAATAATAATTCAAGCAGGGTACACCTACCACACTGGTCTTGTAAATGCAATATATTTGTAGTTTTTTTCGCTTTGCTTTTTGAACGGTTGTTTTGATTTATTTTCAAGTGTTTATGTTTCCCTAAACTATCGTTCAATAGAAGGATTTGATTCTAAAGCACTACAATGTCAGAAAATTAAAAATTTTCGACCTAAACCTACACAATTTTCAGGCCGTACGGGAACAATGATTTAAGCACGCTTTAGCTGTGGGTATGTTCAGTTATGAATGCACTTGGGAATTCCAGAGAGTACTCACGAAGCTGGAGTTGCTTTCGGCGCTGCACCTCGAGCAACTGTTTCGCTTCTCTCTCGCTCCTCAAACCTGCCACCTACATCCTTGACTCGATATACGCACGCTAAAAATGGATAAATTCTTTAATATAGACCGTTTTCAAAAACATTTCAAATTGAAAATGTATACAAAATATATAAATATTTAATTTTTCCATTAACAAAGTGTTAACAGAACAAGTTTTTATGAACATTTTTGAAAAGGAAAGTACAATATAGGTGAAGTTTTTGTTTTACCTTGGCACAATAGCTAAAAAGGTATGGTTTTATTGATGCGAAAGATTCATGCATAGTCCATCACCTTTTGGATGAGAAAAATGACTGGTTTCAAATTGCAATGTTTTTGAAAGTGGATATATATAAAGAGAGACATGCTTACATATTCATATAACTATAGATTTGGAATGATATGGTGATATTTAAGGTGTTTTGATTAACAGTTCAGCTTAACATATAAATCAAGATCACGTTGGCATTGTTCTAATTTCATCAGACTTACCGAAGGAATTCTCTAGAGATAACATCAATAATCCAGAAATTGTCGCCCAAGAAAGCATGAACGTCTCAGTAACTTTACTTTGTAAAGCCAACGTTCTTAACGGAATCGCCAGCTGGAGAAATGTGACTTATAAGATAGAATGGTTTGCTGAGGGAAAGTCATTACAAGTAGAGACTATCTGCGGTGGTATTCCGCCCGGAAGCCTTAACGAAAAAGCTTGTCCAGATGGCACTCTCGTCTCCAAACTGCCTGGCTCTAAATACAAGATAGGAACCTGGGTAAGAACCGTCGAAATAGTATGCATTTTGCATTCTCTGCCCCTTAAAAACTATGGGAATACCATGCAGCCAAAACTAGTTATTTTAGAGGATATGGAGTGTTTTATAGCGCTAATAAGTGAAATGTTTAAGATAGCGTGCGTGCTCTCTTGGGTCGATAGATGATTTTAGATGAAAACATGTAAAATCGGTTGTGACGCATGCTAACAGTACTTTCTGGAAAATATTAACTGAGTCTAAGGTTTGCTTACCATTTTCTGATTCTCGCAGCCCTGTCTGTAGGTTGCTACATAGTTGCACAGTTTTCTGCCCTTCCCAAACCTTCCAGATTATGTGTTTGGGAACACATACATTCAAATCCAACTTTTAGTCCAATCAGTGTTTCGTAAGAATACGTGCAACAATAGAAATATACCGTTGAATTAGGCGCTGGAGTCTCAAGATGATTTTAAAATTGTTATACCACGTTAAATTGCTCTCTTGCGTTACCAAGAATATCTTATGGCGATAAAAAAATTTCAAGAAGTGTAAATTGTTATATATGGAGCTTGTCTCTGTCCCTGCTTGTTTTTTTGCTAACAGATATCATGCAATGTCTCTGCAATATTTACAACTTCGCCGAAAAACGTGTGGTCGCCCTCAAAAGCTGTACGGGAACCCTTTTTTGCAGGCATTCAGGTAAGCCATCCCTTCTCCTTTAATATTGATTTCTCTGTTCCTCGACTGGTTGAGTACTTAAAACAGTTTCAATGAAATTACTCTAACTTTTATTGTTATGTTTATTATTATGATGGTTATTATTATTACTATTATCGTTGTTTTACAATTATATATTACTATTCTTACTGTTATTATTTTTATCATTATGAAGTTATCTTCATATTATTTCATTATTACCATCAGGGCTATTAATGGTAATGTTTACAATCATGAGAAAAATAATGATGAAAAAAGATAGTGACAATAATAATGATGATATTTGAAATTTCTATAAACATGTCGTTATTATCAAATGTCCACGAAATGGTTTTATAGATACATGTATTACGACAAAAACTGACTGTATTAAGATGGGTCCCACAGTGTAGTTGAAGTTCTAACATATCAATAGATGGGATTCATAATTGTCTATCAAACTTTTTGTACAGTTGTTAAAACAATGCTCCTCTAAATGTTCAGCGATATTACGATAATCTCGTATCATTGGACATGATGCAACCTGATCAAAGACAACTAATGCGATGGTCAAGCAAGATTTTCGAGGGAATTTCCCTCAAATCAATTTACTTAAAACTCTCGATCATTTCTGGTATGGTCCGCTACATTGCCTGACGAGAGTACATTTTTCCAAACGAGTTAACACACAGTCTTCAGAGCTTTTAGTGTATCTTTAAATAAATCTCTTGCCCATCTGCATGCGTTTCCTTAGCATATCAACTTCTTGACATCATCTGGCCATTTCACAATTCTTCAAGGGAGCAAAGTCCTTAAGATGTTAATTGTACTTTCAAGTGCAATTTGGGAAATATCAGAACGAGTAGATTTTTCAAAGGCTAACCGAACTGCACGAGCTCGTAGAGCGAGTGCAATTTGAAGTCCTTGGAAAAATGTATGAATGCCGATCCATCCCAAATTGCACGAAAAAAAGGCATGATTACTAGTTCATGATATAGAAGCGAAAATTTAACTCTGTTTTAATCTTTAGCTGCTTTTATCTCATGTCATAGCTTTACGGGTTCGGCCGATTGCCTTTGGCTTGTTGCCGGAAAGTTGCTGGAGTAGTTGTGCTTTTCCCTCAAGAACTTAAAACGTCTGTCAATAATGATCGAGCGTTTGCCTTCTTTCTCTGTTAGCTATCGTTCGACAGCAGTAACCATTAGAAAGCTATCACTCTTGTAGTTTTTCCTGTCTTTCATGCGAGCTATTGCGTATAACTCCTCGAAAATTCTCTTCAGGGTCTCCGGCTCATGTTTTCATCGCCCATTTTGGAAGCCGTCTTTTAGCCAGTCGTGGTTTTTCTTTGTTAGGTGGGCCTATTTTTGCCGCTCCGGACTGCCGCCATGATCCTTCGCAAGAAAAAAGATGCATGGAACGGACTTACAAAGTTCATAGCTTTTGGACAATGTCAGCTAGATAGTTGCAAAAAGCCGAAGAAGTCAGTCAAATCAGAGGAAAAATTGAACGACCCTCTTGGGTTTATTGTGCTACAAACACAGTGGCTTTCTTTCCCGGCTCTCGACAAGTCATCCTGATTCTTATTTTTGAAGGGAAATCCTTTTGCTATATTATAAATCCCATATTGACTAAAATTTGTTTGGTCAATTAGGTACATTAGGGATATTAGCCTTGTTCTTTTTTTGTACGTTTTTATTGATCTCGACTTCGTCTCGGTCCATCCGATCAATATCCAGCCATCTTGACCTCACGTTTGGTCAATAACGCATATTTCTTAGAATATCTATTATATGGCGTGTGTTGCGTCGCTCTGGGATTTAAACCTTGAAAATCACGTTCTTGACTCTAGGAATTCAGTAATTATTGTAATACCCAAACAAGTTTTGCTCTCTCTAGGTATATCCTAGGACTACCTTATTGCAAATGCAAACATGTTCCCTTAGCATCCAGACGATAACTTTGACACCGAAAATACCAGCTCGTAAAAATCAAAATGGCCAGTGGCCAATGGTCTCTTTCTGGCTCCCAGAAGAAATACAACTGGTTGACGAAAAGCAATGCGGGGTCCTGTTGGAAGGCACAAGAAATGTTACCATAGCAATAAAGGCAACTTGTCCAGATGGTATTGTTACAGAAGGTCTAAAAGCCATAGTTCCACTGATGGACGTCCACAGTACGGTTTGGAATCCAAAAACAGGACTTCCAACTATATGGGTATGTAAAGGAAATATTTCTGCGGACAACAGCCATACAATTATGTTGATACACCTATGTTTGGAATACTTTTGATGAAATCTACCGTCGTCAATGTGGCAGGTTTATAACCCACATCATTAGATGTGTTCTTATGATTTTCCAACTATAGAGGTTTTGCACAGCAGCCATGTTGGATGGCAGGAACTATAGATTATTTTTCCCATGGGAAAAATTTTTCTTTCTTATGCAAAATATTTTCATTGTTCCTGCCATCCAACATGGCTGTTGTGGAAAACCTCTATTCTAAGGTCTTGATACATACCTGCCTTGTATCTAATGATCATTTCATTTTTTCAACAACTCTCTTTCAGGTCACTGTCCTGAAGCCAAAGGGAGATAACATACAGACTTGTACCTCAATCACAGATCCTCATATAACTGCTCTTGGAACTAATGGGTTTGTAACAACAATTAGAACATCCTTCTTCATCTTCTTTTTTTAATCAAATTGCTACGTGTGAACATAGGTTTTTTTTTTCACCAAGACTGGTAAAACTATTTGTGAATTTAATTGATTGGTGCAAGAAAGTAATTGTTTCTTACAATTTATTAGCTTTTAGTATTCTAGGACTTGAATCGCTAAAATAAGTATTCCTTCATCCCCCTTAAACCTGATGGAAAATTTGCACTGAGGACTCCGAGAACAAAAATATGTGTAACGGGGAAGGCTGGGGAAACCAGTCCCTTTCAAGTTTGATGAGTAACCTAGTCCCAGTGTAATCGAGGGAGAGTGAACGATGGAGTATGAGTCACTTTTAAAGCATACAGAGTCATCACGCTACGTTGATGAACTAAGAAAAGGAAACAACTTTTCCTCACATGCTAGATATTTCCATTTCATGGGTCTCGGTGACTTTATTCTTTACAAGAACATGGAGAGAAACTTTGAGGTAAGAATTTGTGGTTTTACTGGGCATGGAGCTTGTATTTTGGCCTCTAGTTTCAAAATGAACCTTACGGCATAACCTTAGAATCGAAACAATCCCAAAAGAGCTTTATGGAAAATGAAAACAGAGAAAAGATAATTTTTCCTGTAGGCGCTCATCAAATTGTATTTTGGTTAAACAATAGTGAAAGGTTTTCTTTTATTTCAACTTTTGCATATATTTATATGACATACGAAACACAAACACAGTCAAACAAGGTACAGGTCCAGCTTAATTAGTATACTATCAATTTAAACCACAGGCTTTTGTTTGCTTGTATCTCTTGGAGTTGATGGAAAGATTGGCAATTGTGTCCTGTTGTTATATCTATAGGTTCAAACACGGCAATGGGCTTGTGACAATAAGCCATTTCCAAAAGGTGGACACAATGGAGCAGGAAGAATTAGTTGCAACTGTGGTGCAGTCCTCAGGGATCACAATGACGTAATTGAGTTCAGCTGTTGTAACGATCGTATGACTCGGGACAAGACAACGCCCATTACCGTAAAAATACGTAGCAAGAAATGCTTATCACCAGGGATATCCATAAAAAGGGTTATACCCGGAGTAAATGGCAAATATGAGGTAAGTACATGATTGAGCCTCGGGAAAGATCATCTCTTTTTTTTTTTCAAAAAATGTTCAATGGATTTCAAAGCCAAAAACAAATAAAATTAAAAGTGACTTTTGATCGTGACTACAAAATGTCAGATCGTCGGATTGGTATGTTTTACTTTCCCCTACGTAGTTCAAAGTATGCAGTTACATTTTTGTCTTTCTCAAATTTTATAAAGGTACTGTTTCCGTCGGGTGCAAAAGTAGTAATAAGAAGAAATTACTATGGACTAGATATTGTCATCCAGACGCCGAGAGCAGTTGACACAAACCAAGAAAGAGGACTGTGCATGTACCCTGGACCTTACAACAAATATATAACTGACGCAGGTTTCAAAGAAAGGTATGAAAAGAGAATCTCAATAAACATCGGTCTACTAAATTATTTTAATTTTCCAATTTTATAATCATATATGGCAGTAATGCAGATTTATTGTAGAAGTTGCCTCTTCCCATCTCTGGTTTATCTTGGCTCGCACAATTGAAAGCTTGTTAGGTGTCATTTTTGCTCTGCACCCATAAAGTGCCCAGTATCCGATCAGCATATATGGCTTCTTAAAAACGAACACTTCCTTTCTATATTAAAGCAAATATTGGTAACCAAGGTGCCTACTTTGTCACTGCACGTGTTTTCTGCAGCGAGGTTTGATGATGAACTTACTTCGATCCGTTTCTGCATTAAAACATCAAACACGCTTTGTAAAGTTCGTACTTGTTAATAATCTAAAAGCTCCTAATATCAGCTTTGGTTTTGCCCATGAAGAGGCAAATTTAAGAGGAGCTTAAGGGATGTTTAGAATTTTATCACTTAAAAAATACTGCGTCAGCACTTTTTTTTCCAGATTTCAAAGCTTATGACTTCTAAAGTGAAGTTGGTTTTCTTTTTGGATTTTGATAGTCCTTGATGACTTGTTCTACCAAGTTACTACCGCAAGTCACATACAAATTTCAGCTGCTTATGAAGACTCCGTCGTAAATTTTAGGACTTTTTTAACACCTTCTGAAGGCATTTTACTCTCATTTTTCAGGCTAGAGGTCGGTAGAAGCTACTTTGATACGCTACCTGTAGATGTTCAAGATAAGGAAGTGATATATTCCTCAGCATGTTTATGCCGAAAAGAGGAAGAGGGAAAAGGTCCCCCGCCTTCCTGCCAAAGTGTTTTCGAAGCTGCTTTCCCCACACTTGTGAAAAACAATAATATGGCCACACTTAGGCCTCAACCCTCACCTTCTAGCTTATGTGACAGAGATAAAAGAGATATACATTTCTGGGATGATATCACTGATGAAGATATACAAGTCTACAAGCGAACACTTCATTTACATCCTCGGTTGAAGAGATCAGTAGCCAACAAACAAGTTTCAAATGAAAACGCTACGCGTTATTGTGCTACGAGAATATCCGATACAGAGCTTGGAAAGCTTTGTGCAAAGGTCGGCGTCAATGTTCAGCAGCTAGTTAATACTTGTTCGGTAGATGTTGAGGTGAGTCAGCAACTGTAAACGAGCTTATGGTACTTAAAGGGATTGATAGCCGAGAATTTGCTTTCTGGAAATGGGTAGCAGTCATTATTATGATAACAGCTACGTTGTCTATTCATTATTATGATAACAGCTACGTTGTCTATTCTAATTCTGTTTAGGTTACTCCATTTCCTAGCGAATGCTTTCCGGAAGAAGAAAAATCGTGGAAGCGCTGATTTTTAGGAAATCACCACAATCTGTGTATCGGGAATTCAATCTATTTCTATAGAGAATTTCAATAAATTATAATAGAAGGCGTAGATAAAAAGAAAAGAAAATACATTTTACAGAAACTATCAATTTCACAGCTAATGCGGCTTTACAATCGTATTATTGACTCTTTGAGTAAGTATGAAACACTATCCGATAATTAATTTGGATAACAATGGGTATATATATTGATTAATCTATAGCCTTTCACACGATTAACCACCAAATTTTACCTACCTGATGAGCTTCGTCAATATGGTTTCCGTGGTGTTGCATTTAACTGGCTTGAAGACTATCTAAACAATAGACAACATTTTTTTCAGTTTAATGGACTTAACTCATCCAATACAATACAATACAAAATTCTTTACTTAACTCATCCCATTCATACATACATACATAGGTTAATTGGCCACTCCCCAGAGGGGCTTTTCAGGGCCAAAACCGACCCATCCCACCCAAGGGAGCACATCCACCACACAGTGATCCCGTGCGTGGGAAACTAACGTCTTCTACCCCTAACCCTGCAGGAGACGGGGCCTACGGTTTATTCGTCCTTATCCGAGAAGACTAGAATATCTATCCATTTCTTGATTATAGAAAGGTAGAAAATTCTCCTCACTTATTTCAAGACCATGAGTATTGGTCCGGCAGGGGCTCGAACCCTCGACCTCCCGCACAACACAATCCGGCGCTCTAACCAATTGAGCTAACACCGAGGCACTTATTCAAATATCAAGTGTGGTGTACCCCAGGGCTCCATTCTTGGTCCTCTGCTCTTTCTAATTTACATCAATGACAAGTATGATGTCTCACATGTGTTAGACTTCATTCTTTTTGCTGATGATACAAACATCTTTTTCTCTCATAAAAATGTGAATTTTATCGAGTTAACCTTGAATGAAGAATTACTTAACGTAACAGACTGATGCCGAGCTAATAAGCTTTCGATAAATATCATTAAATCAAATATCATGGTTTTCAAACAAAGACAGAAAAGGGAACTCTTAACTTTAAACTAGAAATTAACTAATGTACTATTGATCGAGTTAGGAGTGTACGTTTTTAGGTGGCATTCTCGACAAAAACTTGTTATGGAAACTGCACATTGCTAACATCGCTAGGAAAGTTTCGAAATCCATTGGTAGAATCTATAAAGCTAGTCTCCGCCTACCTACTTCAGCTTCATGTACATTGTACAACAGTCTTGTTTATCTTTACTTAATTTATTGCATTACGGTATGGGGCTCCCCCTATCCATCCAACTTGAAACGTATTGCCCCACTCCAGAAAAAGGAGGTACGAATTATATCAAGAAGTAATTTTAACACTCATATTAAACCTATATTCAAGCCGTTGAAAATTCTAAATCTATACAATATATATCGATTTCAGATAGGAAACTGATTATGATTATGTTCAAGATAGGCCGTCTTCCTGAAGCTCTCAAAAGAATATTCTCGTTGTCGAGTTGCAATCATTGCTATTACGCCAGAAAATGTACTTCTTTTTGCATATCACATTGCAGAGCAAATATCAAACAGTTTTCGTTATGTTTCCAAGAGCCTAAATTTTTTAATTCTCTAAATATAGAAATCCAAAATGTTGACACACTTTCAAGTCTAAAATGCGAACATTACTCCTTAATTGAATCCCCTCTTATTACCTTATTGTTTATCTACTTGTATTTTCTTAAGCTGCTTAAGTATATGTTTCTTTGAGTGCTATTGTTGTCGTTGTTTTATATGTTTGTTTGTGTGTTCTTCCTTTTTAACCTAATATACTTTGTTCCTAACTCACGCCAAAACACTGATACCTCACTTCTGTAAAATATGGTTTCCCTACGGATTTTCTCGCACCATGCTAAATCTTCAGTTATATTATATCAAAGTATATGTAATTCCTTTCATTTCTACTGATGTATTATAAGTTAAAAAAAAATGGCAAAATAAGCAATACAATACAATACACAGATTTCAACAAGGACACGTTAAAAAGTTTAATATTTCACAAGTTTTCTACTTAAAAAATCAGCGATTCTATTGAATAAACATGTTTCCTGATAGTTACCTAATAGCTCTAAGTTATTATGATAAGAAAGCAAAGCCAATAATGAACGGAGATAGTTCCTAATTAGAGACGTGAGCTCTCGAACGTCCTTATTCTTAGCTAATCAACTAAGGAGGGCATTGGTTAAGAGACCGTGAAGTTCTTCGCTATTATCACTCTTTTTAGTATAGTTTTGTCGTTCTGTGTTCAATGCGCGTCTATTTACTTACATAGTTTTTTTTGTTTGTTTTTTTTATTATATGTAGTATGTTTTATCGTTGTTTTTCTCTCTCTGCTTTTCTAAAAGCTCACTGGAGACTTCTCCTTTGCAAGTGGCAGTGTGTCATTGTTAGTCGAACAGTGTGGAGTACTAGGAGCCAAATATCTATCCATACTTGCTAACGGAAGTCGTGAAATAGATCCTGTTGCTGAAGCATTTGTTAAACAGGTGGCGGAGCTGCTGTGTCCAAATGATTGTACATTCAATGGAAAATGTGTCAATGGCTCATGCGTTTGTCACAAAGACTTCACAGCTTCTGACTGTTCGATGTCCATTTATCAGAAACCTGNATTTTATTTCTAGCTCCCATGGCCCCATGACCATTAGCACGTGGTCACATCCCTAGCAAGATGGCGGACCAAGTCTCGAAGGTGAGTAATTGTCCAAGAAATAAAGACTTTTATTCTTGATTTTTGAGCAAGAGACGGTAATCTTTGGGTTAAATGAAATTATATCTCTATGCTTTCTACGCCTTATATTCATAAACAATCTTTCACCTTTAGGCCTCACGGAACAGCGTACGCACGTGAGTTAAGGAAAATTTCAGACAAGGGCAGATGACGTCCCTTGTTGTGTTTACTTCTCCTCTCTACGCTTTTAAAACTTTACCGTTGAATATCTTATCAAAACACAAAGTCTCTGGTAGTTTAATACTTAAATCGCGAAGACTGCAACGGAGTTAAGGATTCTATTGTTTTAATGTTTTTCTTTTCATCGACTTAGTGGTAGAAATGCTATTTTTTCGTACTGTTTTGTCATTCACTGCGCGTGGTGTTTATTATTTGGAATTTCGAAACGAACAAGTTCAAGAATTGGCATTGTAGTTTCAAGGAAAATTGAGGTTTGGAGTCCACTGTTGTTCCTATGAAAGTTATTTTCATGTTTTTGACGCGCGCTCGAGAAGTCATGGAGGAATGAAATATATCGACTGAGCTGAGTAAAGCAAGCGCGCGATGCTCGAGGTAAGATTATAAATTAGGTTATCTTGACCCTATCTTGGGGGTGATGGTGGTAATGGGTCAATTAGCTTACATTCAATATCGCCCACCTGAGATCGAGAGTGAACTCCGGTTTATTCGTGAACAGGAACCAAGAGCAGTTTATCAATCACTTCTCGGGTACTCGTCGGTACTATTGATGCTGTTTAACTAATATCGATTGTTAAATCAATGCTTATTTCTTTTGGGCGCTTTGAATGTGGAGGATCGACCAATAGACTGATTCCTTTTAGACCACACTGCATATTCAATAATTTGTGTTGTAAATTGTTATGCAAGACTGTAGCTTAGTAGAATATTAAAAAAAAAAACACGGAAATGCTGTCACTTCACTACAGCAGTTTAAGACCATAATAAATGTAATATTAATTTTAACTACATGTAGATTATATCATTACACTGTTGCACATGTATAATTTAACATATAATTAGCAGTAGGTAACTTTTAATGTGATAAATATAGGACTTGTGCATAGGTGTTCTTGTACACAATAAGTGAATCATTTTGTACAGGAAGGGAATGACATGTCGAGCGCGCGTCAAAAACATGAAAATAACTTTCATAGGAACAACAGTGGACTCCAAACCTCAATTTTCCTTGAAACTACAATGCCAATTCTTGAACTTGTTCGTTTCAAAATTCCAAATAATAAACACCACGCGCAGTGAATGACAAAACAGTACAAAAAAATAGCATCTCTACAACTAAGTTGATGAAATGAAAAAAATTAAAACGGTAGAATCCTTAACTCCGTTGCAGTCTTCGCGGTTTAAGTATTAAACTACCAGAGACTTTGTGTTTTGATAAGATATTCAACGGTGAAGTTTTAAAAGCGTAGAGGGGAGATGAAAACAAGGGACGTCATCTGCGCATGTTTGAAATTTTCCTTAACTCAAGTGCGTACTCTGTTCCGTGAGGCCTAAAGGTGAAAGATTGTTTATGAATGTAAGGCGTAGAAAGCATAGAAATATAATTTCATTTAACCCAAAGATTACCGTCTCTTGATCAAAAAATCAAGAATTAAAGTCTTTATTTCTTGGACAATTACTCACCTTCGAGACTTGGTCCGCCATCTTGCTATGGATGTGACCACGTGCTAATGGTCGTGGGGCCATGGGAGCGAGTAATAAAATTATCGCGCGATAATATTGTCTATTGCGGGATAAGTTGTTCTATCGCGCGATAAGTTGTTCTGTCGTGCGATAAGTTGTTCTATCGTGCGATAAGTTGTTCTATCGCGCGATAAGTTGTTCTATTGCGCGATACAGTGCTCTATCGCGCGATAAGTTGTTCTATTGCGCGATAATGTTGATTGCAAACTTTTTGAGTGAATGGACTTAGCAAAACTTATCGCGTGATAAAGTCGTGAAAATTTTTGTAGGTGGATGGCCCTTGAGAGCCACCGTTGAAGATGGATAGGCTTATTCTGCTAAAAAAAAAAGGTAAAAACAAGGTGGGTACATCCATTCTATTCATATTCCTCACATCTATCAATCAATCAGTGTCTGTAGCTAAGTTAAGAAAATGCGGCAAAAAAAAAAAAAAAAAAAAAAAAAANACGACAAGCAAAAATACAGTTCGAAGGCGATAAAGCGATGCGACCACAAAAGCCACATGGGGAGTCCGTGCCGTTCTGTGTCTATCTTTATTCGCATGGCAAAAATTCATCGTTTGTCGGCGCAAAACTATCCACAGAAGCTTCAGACGATTTCTGGGACAATTCATAGTCTGAAAAAGTCGACATTTCCCGACTGGCAACGAAACAGTTCTCAAAAAAGTAATATGTGTGATTCTCTGTGCAGCGAACAAAGAGAGTTGTGACAAAGCAAAGCATAAGTTTGTTGATCCTTTGACACCATGATGACGTTTTTGCGGGCTCGACAGGAACATGTTTTCAGCAATGGCGGACGATTTTTGAACGACTTTGAAGCGGTAAAAATTGGTCATCGAAGGTTTGTTTTGAGTTTTTAATGGCAAAAATGGTCTTAACCTGACCCAATTCAACATTGTGTAAACAATTTAGGCCAAAATAAAATCGTCAATATTCGTCTCAGGGGCACTTTAAATAAGAAATCATATTACTTCATTAAAGGTCTTGCAAGGGCCAGTAGTTAGAGACAAAAACAAACAAACATAGAAATAACATATAACGGGAAGCAAGCTGACTAAGAAATATATTTAAAAATTATGTAAACACGAAAATCAAAAGACTAAAAAGAGGTTAACATAAACCGCAACAAAACAAAGGCATCATAAACCAAAGAAAGTGCTAAGTCGCAATATTTTGTATTTACGTCTGCGGAAATAAATTGGTAAGTGAATCTTTTGGTACTTACACCCTCCTACATTACAGGGAAACTCTTGCATGATAAATGGCTACTGCTTCGCTCCTAATGAGACCAACCCTTTAGACTGGTGTAACCAGTGCGTTCCTGAAATAAGCACATCCACTTGGACGAAGCGTCAAGGTGAGCTTAACGATGTTCTACACGTTTTGAGATATGATGTTTTATTGAAAATCAATTTTCGCTTTATGGGGCTTGTATTTAAACGTTTGCGCCTAAATTGAGATAATTATAATTGTAAATATAAAAGAGCCTTAGTTTGCTCATTTCGCGTCTAAGGTCCATAAATTATTGAATTATTTGTCGAAGTATTTCTAATAAATTATGATGCTTTGACAATTTTAGTAAACCTGCCACCCAAGTTTTCGCCAACCTCTGACTACTTCGTGGTATCTGGAGAAACCCTCAAACTGTCCATTGATGTTGCAGACCCAGAAGATATGCCTGTTACCCTTTCACTTTCACAAGGAAGCCCAACGGAGGCGTCAATCGTCGACAATGTTTTAACATGGAAAGCCACCAATGACGCCTTGACTCTGTTTTTTCTCAAAGCAGCAGACGCTTGTCAAGCTACATCTTATGCTAACATTAACGTGTCTTTGGTTGCTTGCCAGTGTAAGAATAACGGAACCTGTGTGCCCCACCCAAATTATCCGAGAGGATCAGGGTTTTATGCATGTGATTGCTTGCCAGGATTTACTGCTGAAAAATGCGAGACCAACATTGACGAGTGCCGGTCCTTTCCATGCTTTCGAGGTAAGGCGACCAATGCCCTTCTTCTCAAAAATTTTGACAGAAATAAAGGCCACCATGAAAAGAAAATTTGGAAAGAAAAGGAAATCATGATTTGTTCAATCTAAAGGGGAAAAGTTACCTGACTGTAAAGAACGATAGAAGCTGAGAAGAAAAGCAAAAAGGGAACGGATGTCGTTTTTTCTCAAAAAAATTTATTTGAAAGCAACAATTAATTCTAAAGTCACCATATTCACAGCAAGGTAAGCTTGCCAAATTGGTTTCCTCATCGAAATATGGCCCCAACTACTGATATTCGTAATAATTTCTGACTTACCGCACACAGTGTTTCGATTGTCACGAAATTCATTGTATTAAATGAATACGATTTCCACTTTTAAAATGATTTTTTAGTTATATCCTATTGGGAAAATGTTTATTGCGAATTTGCTGTACATAAAATGTGGTGTTTAGATATAAAATTATGTGATTTACGAAAAAGCAACACAAGCCTGAAATTGAAAGAAGTGCACCTGTTTTAGACTTAAGCCATTTCTCAATCCCTCCTATAGAGATGTATCAATTAAACTTAGGCCTGCATTCTTTTGCTCTTAACATGACCTAAAGTCATTTACCTCCGGTCGAGGGTTTATGACGCCTTTTGTAGGTTATTTTTTTACTAAGGTTAGGCGGTTCTGGGCAATAATATTATACTACATTACCAAGTTCACCGAAAGGTAGCTGTACCCTAAATACTGGGATAATGATTTTTGGTCGATGTGCCACCTCCGATGCGACCGTGGGAAAAGTTTCTCTCAAATTCTTCGTATGAATTAAAATTAACAAATGTACATTTCTATGTATTAATTTCTCCTTATTAGGTCGCTGTATCGATAGAGTGAATACGTACGAATGTGATTGTGACCCTGGATATGTTGGTCGGGACTGTGACACCAATTATGATGACTGTAGTTCTTCTCCTTGCGTAAATGGTCAGTACTCTGCTAGTTGAAAAATGATCGCTTTTCAAATCTAAATTTCTTTTGACACACTGAGGGTTTTTTTTTAAATATTCCTCACACAATAGGCTAAATTATGTCTCCATTGTGTCAAAATTATCATATAGCATGAAACCAAATGGCTTAAATCGTTTTGGGAGGGCCTGGCAAGAACCAAATTGTCAATGTGACAACAACAACAAACAACCCTGAACTACCACCAACAGACAATGGGAAGTTAGAAATTCGGTAAATTATGGTTGCCAAAGGTCATCAAGAAGTCAGGGAAAAATAAATTCCTTCCAAGGAAAAAATCAGGGAAAATTTCCGTCTGTGAAGGATTATAGTTGAAAGGAAAGAAAATGAATCCTATTTCCATGTTACCTGAGGGAGCTATCGATTTATGTGACTTGCTAAAAGCGTAAATTTGTGGATGGAGACGATAACTGTGAGTAGAGGCTGGAGGCCAATATCAGACAAGACTAATAGTTTTCAAAAACGCATGACTATGGCAACCAAGAAAATGATGAAACGATGAAACGAAACAACTTTAATTCCCCCTTCCAAGGAAGGAATGGATACTGCAAACCTAAACAAGGTAAACTGTATAGTGGACTCGCACGCATTTTTTACGGGTACGCAGATGACCATCACTTAATCTTCTCTGAATCTGACTATTGTGCCTCCGGACCAGTAAGAGGCCCTAACTTGTGCTTATCTTAAAATGTCATTATCCCGCAGGAAATTGCACGGACTACGTGGGTACATATAGATGTACTTGTGATCCTGGATATAGTGGACTTAATTGTACTATTAATGTCGATGAATGTGAGTCATCTCCCTGCGCATTCGGTGAGTTAGCAATTTATTCATTTACCTCAGTATCCTTCCTGTTATAAAAAAATAGTAATGCTTCATGCTGATACATGACACTATGGTATTTCCTGTTAAGAAACCAGTTTTCTTCCCCATTTACAAGATCACTTGCACAAGAGAAGTATTTATTTATCAGTGATTTAGGAGTAGGTAACTTTCTTTTTCTCTTCACGCGTAGGAGCATACGTCGATCACGTCAACAAATACACGTGTGTATGTGATGATTGGGCGTCAATGTTTAGAAACTAATCGTATACACAAAGAAGATGTAAGCGTGAATTATCATCAAAAAAGGAGTAATCATCGATGAAGGGGGGAGGGAGAGGGATGGAGCATGCTCCTTGTTGATTATGCCGACTATTATGAGTCCACCTTTTTAGGCACATGTGTGGACAACATCAACAGCTTTACCTGTATCTGCCCAACCGGATTCAGTGGTGTAAATTGCGATGAGAACATAGATGATTGCCTCACATCCCCCTGTGCAAATGGTATGCAATTTTATGTCATTCTTTTAAGCTACATAGGCATTGAAGTTATACCTAAAAAATGGTGGCTAGTATTTATTATGAAGCAACCTAAATAACCATGGGGCAAAATAGGTTAACTTAACCTTCTAATACAGGGTGACCTAATTCTCCGTTTGATTGATTTACTGCAGAAACAAACAAAAAAATCAGAATGATTTGATTTCTACAGCTTGCAGAAGATCGTACACTCACTCAGATCTGGTGATCATGATATCTAGGTCCGTATTGCATTATTTTGACTCAGTTTGCTCTGTTGTTTTTCTTAGGGACCTGTATTGACTTAGTAAATAACTACACGTGTAACTGCTTCGCTGTCTTTAGCGGTCCAAACTGCGATATTAAGATAGAGAACTGTACCGAGGATTTTTGTTACCCTAATGTGACTTGCGTCAAAAACAATGAAATAATTAGCTGTGGTCCATGTCCCTTGGGGCTCACCGGAGATGGAAAGAACTGCAAAGGTATTAATCCCATCAAGACAAAATTAGTAGTAGTAGTGGCAGCAGCAGCAGCAGGGACGAATAAATGGAGGTCCCGTCTCCTGCAGGGTTAG